AAGTACGAATTTGCTTGAAATAACGCAAAAACAACCAATTTACACTTTTTAGTGAAATATAGGTGTCCTAATAGTGTTTTTAGCAGTGTGGGACACATATACGACTGTCAATAGCTCAAAAAATGTGTTTTGGTGTTTCGTGACCCTTTAAAGAGTGCTGTCTGGGTCCATGTGACATCATACGGGTATACTCTTGACTATTAATGATACTACTACTACTAGTACTACTAATAGAAACTACAAACAGTAATAATCTTTTTAAAATATAGACATTTGAAAATTAGTTTTTGTTTTTGCACATTAAGTGTCAATTTACTTTTAAATTAAACACAATACATTAAAACATAATTAAAATAATAATATTATGATTAATAATAATAATATTAATAGTAACAACAACAATTATAACTATATTAATTATAACAACAGCAACAATTGTAGTAATAATAATAATAATAGTAGTAGTAGTAGTAGTAGTGGTAGTAGTAGTAGTAGTAGTAGTAATAATTGAAATAAAGTAAGCATATAAAAATAGACAATTATTATTTAAAAAAAAAATCTTTGTCTATTTCATTTTAAATTAAACACAATAAATTTAAATACATGTAGTATTAATGATAATAATTTTAATAATTATAACAATAATAATGATGATAATGAACCGTAGCTAACATTTTAAAATGTAGACATTTATTATTTTAAAATAAACAAATAAACAAATAAATAAAAACATATATATGTTTTGTGTTCCATCTTTCTTGTAAATTTTCTTTTAATTTTTTAATTTATTTATTAATTAAACCAACAATAACAGTAATGGTAATAATAATAATGATGGTAATATTAATTAACATTTAAAAATAATAAAAAAATGTAAAACATTTATTATTTTAAAATAAAGTTTTAAATAAATCTATAAAAATAAATAAATAAATAAAGATTTAGTTTTGCACCTTTCGTGTCAATTTCCTTTTAAATACAAATGAATACAACAATAATAATGCTAATAATTATAATAATAACACTAATAATAATATTAAACTTTCAAAACATTTATTATTTTGAAATAAATAGTTTTGAATAAATACATATGAATAAATAAATAAATTAATTAATAAAGATTTAGTTTTGCACATTTCGTGTCAATTCCCTTCTTAAATATAAATGAATACAACAATAATAATAGTACTAGTAATTATAATAACAACACTAATAACAACACTAATAATAATAATAATAATAATAGTAATAATAATAATAATAATAATAATAATAATAATAATAATAATGACAATGACAACAACCTGTCTAAGAGGAAGCATGAACTGCTCTAAACTGCAAAGAAACACAGGCCTGTTGAAGAGCTTGTGATTTTCGATTTGTCCAGAGAATCGCTCAGTCTCTGCGGTCTCTGGAGGGGAAGGAGAGGACGTTCACTTTTTCTCCTCATTACCCAGAGCCACTGAAATGACATCACTTCCCTTCAAGAGCGTCTGACTGGAGATGCTGTAATGTCTCCTGCTGACTTTACTAGACTGAGATGCCGGACATCAGGACACACAGCAAATAGAGTCACATTAGCTAGAAGGAGAGAAATATTAATATTATTATCAGTTCATATCAATAAACAGTATTATTCATTAGAATTATGGATGTTTATGAGTCTGATCAACAAAATAAAATATTTATTTCAAAATAATAGTTCTTAATTAATTTAAATGTGTACTATTTTCATTATTATTGCTTATTTATTTTTTTAATTTATGTTTTTATTTATTTATTGATTAATTTAAAAGGAAATTGACACTAAATTTGCAAAAATTATTTATTTTTAATAAAAGTCTAAATGTTAATTATATAATAATATTTTTTTTATTAATAAAAGTTTTAATAAAAATAATATAATTTAAAAAAATTATTATTATTATTTATTTGTTATCATTATTATTTTTTATTATTATTTTTATTGTTTATTAACAACAAAATAAAACAACAACAATAATAATAATACACCTTCTGTAATGCTGAACTGTTTATGCCTCCTCAGGTCCTCATTGTAAATGAGAGTTGGTCCTCAATTGACTTACCTGGTTAAATAAAGGTTATTATTATTCATCCAGACACTTTGAGCTGCTCTTCTTCCGCTCTTCCTCCGCTGTTGAATGTCAGAATGCATGCGATGTGTCTGTGTGAGATACAGAGAGCCATCTGTGCAGGACTAACACAACAATTTACCCTCATTATTCCCCCTCAGACGGAGGCAAAGCAGGTCAAACCCAGAAATGTCAAGCACTACAGAAACACCTTCTGCTACAACTGTGGATTTGCATGATAGACACTGCAACATCACTGTTTCACTATAGTTGCCTTTTGTTTTTGCATGTGTGTGCGTTTGTATGTTCACTCGTTGGTTGTTTGTTTTTCATTTGTTCATTCGTTGGTTGGTTTGTACATTTGTTAGTTAGCTAGTTTGTTCATTCATTCATTTGTTTGTTCTTTCATTCGTTATTTAGTTTTTTTTGTTTGTTTATTTGTTCATTCGTTTGTTAGCTAGTTAGTTCATCAGTCTTTTAGTTTGTTCATAGGTTTGTCCGTTCACTAGTTGGCATGTTTGTTCATTCATTCATTCGTTCGTTGCTTTATTAAGTCAATAGTTTGTTTGTCAGTTTGTTTGTTCATTCGTTTATTTGTTTGTTCGTTCATTAGCTAGTTAGTCATTTAGTTTGTTAGTCAAATCATTTGTTCGTTAGATTGTTTGCTTATTCGTTCATTGTTAGTCTCAATTCGTTTCTTTATTGATTTGTTTGTTTGTTCATTAATTAGTTTGTTAGTTTATTCCTTAATTCCTGTGTTCGTTCGTTAGTTTGTTTGTTTATTCATTAATTCGTTTGATAGTTTGTTCGTTAGTCGGTTAGTTTGTTCCTAAATTCGTTTGCTCATTAGTTAGTTTGTTTGTTCATTTTTTGTTAGTGTGTTCGTTAGTCAGTTAGTTTGTTCCTTAATTCGTTTGTTTGTTTGTTAATTAATTAGTTTGATAGTTTGATCGTACATTCGTTTGTTAGTCAGTTTGTTCATTAGTTAGTTTGTTCGTTAGTCAGTTTGTTTGTTCCTTAATTCATTTTTGTTAGTTAATTAGTTTGTTTGTTCATTTATTCGTTTGTTAGTTTGTTTGTTTGTCAGTTTGTTCTTTCCTTAATTAATTTGTTTGTTAGTTAATTTGTTTGCTTGTTTGTTCGTTCATTCGTTTGTTAGTTAGTTTGTTAGTCAGTATGTTTGTTCCTTAATTAATTAGTTTGTTAGTTAGTTAGTTTGTTTGTTCATTGATTCATTTATTTGTTAGTTCACTTGTTAGTCACTTAGTTTGTTTCTTAATTTGTTTGTTTGTTATTTTGTTTGGCAGTCATTTGTTTGTTAGTTTGTTTGTTAGTCAGTTAGTTTGTTCCTAATTCGTTTGTTCATTAGTTAATTTTGTTTGTTCGTTCATTCATTCATTTGTTTGTTAGTTTCTTTGTTAGTAAGTTTGTTTATTACTTTGTTTGTTCGTTAGAGTTTGTTCATTTGTTCATTCATTTATTTGTTTGTTAGCTTGTTCATTCGTTTGTTCATTCATTAGTTAGTTACTTAGTTTGTTGGTTAGATTATTAGTTATTTCGTTTATTAATTATTTTTTTATATAGTTAGTTAGTTAGTTAGTTAGTTAGTTAGTTAGTTAGTTAGTTAGTTAGTTAGTTAGTTAGTTAGTTAGTTGGTTGGTTGGTTGGTTGGTTGGTTGGTTGGTTGGTTGGTTCATTTGTTCTTTAGTTACTAAGTTTGATTGATCTTTTTTTTCTCGTTAGTTTGTTTTTTTACTTTTTAAATATAATAAATACATTTATAATATATATTGATTATAATATATACTGATTAAAGGTATTTGTTTTTTTGTTGTTGTTTTTTTTAACATCCATAATGTGAAAAACACATACTATAGAAGTCAATGGTTACAGGTTTTCAACATTCTTTAAAATATCTTCTTTTGTGTTTGTGAAAAGAGTAAAAGAAACTTTACAAAAGTTAAACAAGAGTAAATGATAACAATTTATTTTGTCAAACTTTATTTTAAGGGACAATTCTTGCTATTAATAAACCATTAAATGACTTTAGTCTCAAACTCCTCGTTTCTTTCGTTTTAATAGTTATTAAGGTAGTAGTTGGGTATTAGGCAGAATTAGGATTATGCAGAATAAGATCATAAACAGCCAATATATTAATAAATGTCAGGTAATGAGGTAGTGTATTATATAATAATTTTATATGCAATCAATTAATTTATGCATGCATACATTTAACAGCATATCTTTTATAAAACGCATCACGCGTCTTATCAATCCGGAAATCACACAATGTAGCCTAATTTTATAGAACCACCAAAATCATAGCCCAAAAAAATCATAAATATTTAATAGATCACCCATTGTGTTGTCTGTTTGAAGATTTGTGGTTCTTAATTTCATGTTTTTATGCTCCTGCAGACTGTTTTATGTTCCTGCGACCGGCACCGTTTACCTGATGAAAGTATCATTCGTCATCTTTATATCCCGGTTTCTAAAAATAACCTTGAATGTTTTCTTTTTGCCGGACTGAGTTTGTGTGTGCGTCTCTAAGCCGATGCGGCGGAGAGATCAAATAAATCCACCTGAGAGCCACTGCACACTCCATCGCCTTATTTATTACCGGCTTTTTCCACATCATCATATTTCACACTGTCACGTTATGGATTTTAATTTTATTTGGAGCGCTAAACGGCGGACAAACAGATGCGCTGGGAGATAGAAAGGTGGAAGGGAGAAGGGAAGCGCTTGAGCGATGTTGGCTTCCTCCGAATGTGACGAATTATGGCTGTGTAATAATAGCATAAGTCATAGAAGATACCGATCATCTTCTACCCTCTCTAGCTGTTTCTCAAGCCTGTGTGTTCACGTGCGCCGTATGTCTGATGTATATTGTTGTGTGTTTTGCAGATGGTATCAGTGTAACAGGTCTGCCTGTTTCCAGCCCGCTAAGGCAGGTCTTAAAGCCACGCGCTGAAAATAAACCAGCCACCACTGACGCCAGCAAGAGCGAGTACAATCACGTCAAGGTAAGAGCTAAGCAAACACCTACACACGCTAACATAGACACACATACATGTTTGTTTCACTATTTCAGTAAGGAGATTACATAGACTTTCATTGGTTTTATATAAGATTAATGATACTTTTAAATGGCATACCCGTAGCCCTGAACACAACCCGAAGTATCATTAGATACTAATAACATTTTTGGGCCGATTTATAAGCACTTTTAATTAGCGAGGACCAAGAAAATGTCTTCACTAGTTGGTCTTTTTGGTATCTTTCTGTATAAGTGAGGACATTTGGGCCCTATATAACAAGTTTAACTATACACAAGTATAACTAAACCTGTAAACACACATATATACGCAAACACAGACACACATAGATGTTTGTTTCACTATTTTAGTGAGGATATTACATAGACTTCCATTGATTTTATATTAGGCTAATGATACTTTCAAATGGCATACCCGTAGCCCTGAACACAACCCGAACTATCATAAGATACTAATAACATGTTCTGGCTGATTTATAAGCACTTTTAATTAGCGAAGACCAGGAAAATGTCTTCACTAGTTGGTATTTTTGATATCTCACTGTATAAGTGAGGACATTTAAGCGCTATATAGCAAGTATAACTAAATACAGGTATAGCTAAACCTGTAAACACACACACATACGCAAACACAGACACACATACATCTTTATTTGACTATTTTAGTGAGGATATTACATAGACATTGGTTTTATATCAGGTTAATACTTTCAAATGGCATACCCGTAGCCCTGAACACAACCCGAAGTATCATTAGATACTAATAACATGTTTTGGCCGATTTATAAGCACTTTTAATTAGTGAGAACCAGGAAAATGTCTTCATTCATTGATTTTATATCTAGTTAATAATATTTTTAATTTAAATATTTAAATTAAAGTTAGTTTAAATATTTTTTTAATTTTTAGTTGATGAGGACCAGGGAAATGACATATTATATTATATTATATTATATTATATTATATTATATTATATTATATTATATTATATTATATTATATTATATTATATTATTTTATATTATATTATATTATATTGTAATATATTATATTGTATTATATTATATTATACTATATTATATTATATTATACAATATTATATTATATTATATTATATTATATTATATTATATGATATTATATTATATTATATTATATTATATTATATTTTATTTTATTTTATTTTATTTTATTATATTCTATTATATATATTATAAAAAGCTCAGAAAGCACTTAAAAAATGACCATTGTTTTCTGGTGTATGCTGAAACTACACAGGAACAAATAAAATCGTGTAGACACAGTTTAATATCAACACAAAAGTATCTGTCTTTAGCTTTCCCTCTGACTTGAAATTTGTTAAACACTCATGCTACTGGCCTCGCTCCACCCCCACAGCTTTTAGCCCCACCCACACTCATCACCACTACCTAGCCAACTAATCACAGGTTACTCTCTGCATTGTTGCAATGTGTAATTGCATTTTTTGAGAGGTGCATATCAAGGTCCAGCAAAGGGTCCTAATGCATGCACTTGATGCAAAACTATAAACTCTTACTGGTTTGTATGCCTGTGCATGGTGATCAATTTTTTGGGGGGCATCTGGTGATGGAAGCTTGTGTGTCTCTGTCCGCGGTGCTGAATATGTGAGGGTCATGGGATGATTTTGCTGAAGTGTGTGTGTCTCTGTCCGTGGTGCTGAATATGTGAGGGTCATGGGATGATTTTGCTGAAGTGCGTTTACCTGTCCATGGTGCTGAAGTGTGTGGTACTTTTGCTGAAGTGTGTGGTACTTTTGCTGAAGTGTGTGTGTGTGTGTGTGTGTGTGTGTGTGTGTGTGTGTGCGTGTGTGCGCGTGTTTGTGTCTCTGTCCATAGTGCTGAAGTTGTTTTGTCTGTCTCTGATTATACTTTGCTGAAGTTTGTGTCTCTTATGTCCATGTTTTCTGTGCGTGGTGCACATATTTGAAGCAACACATTTTATTTTCTTATCTCAATTCTATTTTGGCTTTGTTGTTTTTAAATTAAAACTTTTATTTGATCCAGTATTAACTGATTTAAATAAATAAATTGCTTAAGGTTTTTAGTTGAGTTTTATTGGCGTTTTTAATTAGCTTGAGTTTCAGGGGAAATTATCCAAAGAGCATTATAAGATTTGTTTACTTGACAAGGAAACTGGCCAACATACATATGGTAATAAGTCTGTTTTTTTTGTTTTTTAGTATTATATGTTTTTGTTAGGAGGAATGATATTCATGCTTAAAATACAGAACAAGAGACTAAATAAACTTAATTCAATCAAACATTTTTTTTTCACCTATTAGTAAGCAATGTTCTTGCTCTAAGCATAAACCGGTTTCCAAATTAAAATGCTAATTTGAAAAGGCAAGACAGCTGTTTGTTGCTCAATTAAAATATATATTCTTATCATAAGCAAGGCAGCTATTCATTCATTCATTCATTCATTCATTCATTCATTCATTCATTCATTCATTCATTTTTGGTATTTGCTTTATTTTTTTGGATTAGAGTATTTACATTTTTATCACCATATTTCTTCATTTATTTATTTGTTTGCTTTGTTTGTTTTTTGTTAGTTTTTTTTTTTTTTACTTTATTTCTTTCTTTCTTAGATATTTAGTTTTATTTTGTCAGATTTTATTTTATTTTCATTCATTCATTTTCTTTTGGGCCTATTTCCTTATGCAGTTGATGCCCTTCCAGCTGCAAGTCATAACTGGAATTTTTTTATTTTATTTTATTTTTTATTTTTATTATTTTTAATTATTTGTATTTTTTATTTATTAATTTTATATTGCTCGTTATAATCCGTCAGATTGCTAATTGTAAGGATCAACTACAATTCTGCCACTGAACCGAACTACAAATCCCAGAAGTTAGTGCCTTAATCCAGACACTGACACACTGCTGAAACTGATATTCATTCATTACCTGGACTATACAGTATATACAGCACACTTTCACACACACTTTGCTGAGTCTTGTTCACTGTTAGCATTACCAAGCGTTTTTCTTGTCTTGCCTTCCTGTGTTCTTGTTTGTTTTGTTTTTTATGCTGTTTCCCCACTTGTCCCTACCATCTGTCTATTATTTTGATCACATTGTTTGGATTACCTTCACGCTCCAGTTTGTACTTGTCATGATCACTAGCAATCTAATCATTCTGTCACCATATGTACTACAAATCCTGTCATGCACTACATACACACACCTGTTCCAGGTCTTCTTTGGTTACACACATACAGCTGGGAGCTGTTCAAGGACTGATTACACAGATTATATATATACATCACACACACATTGCTGAGTCGTTAGCTGTCAAGTGAACATTAGGTGTTTTGTCTTGCCTTGTCTTGCCGTATACCAATCTTTACTTTGTTTGTCCTTTTATTTTTGTTCTTTACGTCCGGGTAGACCACTTGCCTGCTATTGACTAATCTTCTGGATTTGCCTGTATGTTACCGTTTGCCCCTAATTGTGATCACTGCCTGCCTGACCATTCTCTGTGTAATAAATCCTGCATTTGGATCCACAACTCCGTTGTCAGCATTTCCTTCCATGACAAAAGACTCAGCCAAGTCTGTGTGTGTGCTGTATATATAGTCTGTGTAATCAGTCCTTGAGCAGCTCCCAGCTGTGGGTGTGTAATCAAAGGAGAACTGAATCAGGTGTGTGTGTGAAGTGCATAATGGGATTTGTAGTGCATTTAAATGGGAGTGTTGTCCAATGGGAGTGTTGTGCAAGAGCAACACTGCGGGTAATCATAACAGTATTTTTGACCATTGCCTGCCTGACCACTCCCGGTTATTAAACTGCACGGGGATCCTCGTCCTGGTTGTCCCGATTAATACTAATAAATGATTGCTTGCTATAATGTGGCCCTGAAAGTAATTTATTTGCAAATTGCCTGGCGCTTTGTATATCAGGGCTTGCCACCGCAGAATGAATCGCCAACTATTCCAGCATATGTTTTAGGCAGCGAATGCCCTTCCAGCTGCAACTCAGTACTGGGAAACCTAAATTAACTAATTAATCAATCAGTAAAAATAAAGTTAATGAGATGTTTGTTTGTTTTTTAAATGCACAACAAGAGAAAAAATAAGCTTCAAATAGTTATTTCCCTGGCATAAACTAATTTCCAAATTAGAATGGTAATTTGAAAAGGCAAGAAGTCTACAAATTGCACATGAATTTAGCCAGCAATGTGCCGATCAAAACAACAAGAACAACAACAACCCAAAAAAAAAAAAAACTGCAATTTTTCAACACATGAGTAGCACTGGGACCTCCAGCCTCAGGATGGGCCCCCAGCGACCCTCTGTCCTCCAGCCACAAAATCACTGAGACTGACAATCCATCGGCCTCCATCCGTCCTGTCATCACTGCATAATTCAGTGGCGTTTCCGGCATAAAGAAGGAGTTCGGCGGGGCCAGAGAATACAGATGCATCCTGAACACAAACCAGACCAACAGGGAGACGCTTGAGAAGTAATGAGAGGAGAAACAGTGTTGAGTGACAGGATGAATGTTTGAATCATGACAAGCTGAAGGGAATCACTTCTGCTGCCTCACAGGAAGTGTCTTCACTCACTTGCCCTTTCATAACCCTATCTGCACTGTCCACTAGCAAACAGAGAAACGTGCTGCATCACAATTTGAATACTATTTGTTCGAAATAACATTCTAAAAAAGAATTAGTGTGCATTTATATTGATTACGTTTTCTTGAGTTACCTGGATAATGTGCTATTTTGACCTGAAAATCATAACGTTTGACCAAAAGTTTGTTGCTGAATGAATTTATATATACTTTCGGTAAGCATTGCACCCAACAGTTTATTCATGCTTCCGTGCATTCATGTATGTGATTGTGCATTTGTGTGTGCGTGCTTACATTCGTACGTTCATTCTGGCGTTCGTACGTGGGTTCGTATGTTCGTTCGTTCGTTCG